GGAGCTGGTAGACCCTCTGAGAATGAAGAGAGCTTCCAGAGCTCATTCCCCCCTGCCTCATATGCGCGCACACACACACACACACACACACACACACCCTGGCTGATTTTACAGTCGATCTTTCACTTTGTCATGCCTGGCAGTAAATAAGAAATCATTTGCTGCAGGTTTTCTTCCTCATAAGTTCCCATCATTAGGGGGTGACCAAGTCACAGTCGCAGGGTCCGAGGAGCACGGGAGGCCCTCACACGGAATCTGTAACTTCTCTCTCAGAAAAGCCACCCTCGACCAGGCACCAGCCGAGGCTGTGCAGCCTCATGGCCCAGAGCTGTTTCAAAAGCACAGTTTCAGGATCACAGTCGCCTGGGGGGGGGGGGGTCAGGCGGCGACATGGAAATCGGAATTAAATCTCCCAAATGGTTGGGATGGGCAGCTTGGTAGCACAGCCAACTCAGAGGGGTAAGATCCTTTTTTCTTGTTTTTAGTCTAAACTTGTAGAGAGAAATAACCTCCACAGCCTGTGTGAGATCTTTCTTGCATTAGCCTACATCATGTACGCTACAGAGAACATGGCTGGGGGCAGCCAGTTCCACTAGGAACAGATAGCAGCGTGGGGAGAGGCAGGCTCTGTGTGAGAGGGGAGCCCTCCCCAAGTCCTGGGTCCAAACCTCCAGCCAGAAGCCTGGGAGGCCAGTGAAGGGCACCTCTTTTCTCCCACCTGCCACAGTGTGGGACCACGGGCTGTTGAGACAGCCAAGGAGCCCACAGCCTCATTTGGAAAGGCTTTGGAACTGCCCCGCAGAGGAGGGACAGAAGTCTATCTGCCTGACAGTCACTAATGTCCTGTCATTTTTACATGTTCAGACCAGTGGCACGCTGGTTTCCACTTTTAAAAACAAAACAAAACAAAAACAAGAACTGCAAGAAAGGATGTTGCCCCATGCAGAAACAACCGGGTATTCACCATGGCTTCCCTGTTTGTAAAACGGAAGATGGCCCCCAGTAGAGCCTTGTATGTTGCAAAAAAAAAAAAAAAAAAAAAA